AGAATTGGAGCCTTGTTAAAATTCAACAAATACGACAATGTTCTACATAGTCAAGCATATACTTGAAAGCTACAAAATAGCGGTCATACGTAATATATAGCGAATAGATTGGCAAGGATTTAGTTCAATGACATTAAGTGGAAATAGCAGTAATTTCAAGCATTAGTATATATATATATTTTAAATTAATTTCAATTGAATTGCTACATTCTCCTACAAGGCAGGTCATGTAGCAGTCACTAAGCATGAAGTCATGTAGGATCAGCATCCACACTGCATTGCCTTTTCCACACGTTCCTTCCAAGACGATGGGACCATGCCATTGGATAAGTGCCGTCCAAGGCAATGCGTCACCTTCCTGATAAAGTACATTTTTAAAGTCATTGGCATCTTCTATGACGGGCCACTTCCATGAGCGTCGTCTAGACCAAATCACGGGTAGGCAATAGATTGATTGATTTGACAACTTTTCAGTAGCGTCGTTCAATCAAACAACTTTTCAACCTATATTCAGACTAGGGTGATTGTATACCTATAATGGTTATGAATTAACAAAATAGACACCTATGTATTAATATAATTGAGCAGTTTGACCAATGCATATTTATGATGAGATCACGTGTCAAGCATCCAATGAACCTCGACTCATCTCTCTTGATACACTCACACATAGTGCCATCAAAAGGTAATACAACTTCAAATCTTTAACATTAGTGAAAGATTGTTACCTATTCAAATCAACGCCCTCATATTTTTCATCTACCCACAATCATTGCGTGCTGTTGAAGATACATCACGTGCAATCTAACATCAATGTCCATGTGTATACGTAACATATACGTCTTGAAGAGGAACTGGAATCTGTAGACAGATAGATCCTGCCAGACTAAGAGATCAATAGCTTGTCACCGTCTGTGAAAACCATACTTTAATAATGATTGATTCTCGTGTGAGCAAAAAGACTACTCGTTTTTCCTTTAAAAAAAATATTGTTCTTGAAGAAAGAACAAGTGGAAGTTTTGAAGGAAAAGTTAAACCTTTGAAGAAAAGAAGGATATTGTGAGCTAAAAATTGAGTGAAAACTTTGGGCAAGAGATGAAACTGGGAAGATCAATGCGAGAAGCTTCTGAAAATGAAGCTTAGGCCATCAGGGATGACCAACATTGATGACCACATCACCAAAGGATAAGAAGAGTTGTTATACGCCTCACTAGAGAGGTGGCAAACATGACCGCCAACATGACAAACTTGACACAACGAAATGCTACTATGTAACTCATCTTGCAACAAATGCAAGCATAAGCGGGCATGCAATGTTGTAATTTGACAATACAATCATGCTAAGAACAAGAATCACATATACCGAATTGATAGATTGAGATTCATACCTAAGGAAGACATTTTTGTTTATAAATGTTACCAACTAGATCTTTCTCTCCTTGCTCTTAAAAAATAATCAGTCGTCAATGGGGCAAGCCAATAAACGATATGAAGAGGAGAGTGGACCTAACCTTTAAATAGGAAATTATTAAGCCGTCCTATTACCGACTCTAACCCTAATTAGGGTTTACATAATTATGGCCCACATATATAAAATTACCACATTATAAAAACATAGCCCGGAAGGTGTACAACGGCCCAAGTGATCACTAACATATTGAGCTTAATCACAGTATCATTGCAAACCAAACATCTAACCCATAAAATTCGCAATCAAATGAAAGCTTATTTAATAGAATTATTTTAACATTCTCCCACTAAGCAAACATTTGATTGCTATAGAACATAATTTTTAACCTCCGAGTCAGACTATATAGGTGGCCACACAATTATATCTGCAATGATAACACTTTAAACAACATGATCCAGTCCAACAAGAATGTCAACGTTGAACATGCGATTCATTACACCAATCAAATGATGTAAGACCACTCCACAGCTACAAATGCGAATATCCTTATCGACATGGATCCCCATCTGACCCATCTTATGTCTTTATTTGTCATATCTCTAGATCAAAATAATATCGTAATAAAAGACATAAGTCAAATACATGCTCAAAATAATTTATGGATAGGAGAAAATATATTTTATTATTAGAAAGGGCTGTACCCGAAAAATATATGGGTTGCCTACGTACCCCTTGAAGGGATCAAGCCAAAATGTAGTTCTTTTACATAAATAACTCTCACTAACCAAAAAATCATAGGTTTCCACAATACCCATATTAGCAACACGTGTCTAAAAACTTTAGGAGCGAGTCCCTTAGTCAAAAGATCTACAATCATCGCCTCTGTATTGATATGCTCTATTTTCATCTACCGTTCTTTGACTCTGTCTCTGACCACCAAATATTTGATGTCAATGTGTTTTGATCTATTAAAAATTTTATTATTTCTTGAAAAGAACACCGTCGCGCTGTTATCGCAATAAATAATGATTGACCTAGAGATGGAGTCAACAACTTTCAGCCCAGAAATGAAATTCCTTAACCAAACGGATTGAATTGTAGCTCCATAACATTTCATAAATTCAACCTGCAAGTAGAAGATGCCACTAGAGTCTGCCTAACACTTTTTCATGAGATAACACCACCAGATAACATGAAAATATAACCCGAGGTTGATTTCAAATTATCTTGACATCCAGCAAAATCCGAGTCTAAGTAGCCTACAACCTCAAGGTGATTTGAACGCTGTAAAGTGAGTATATAATTTTCAGTTTTCTTTAAGTATCTCATAACTTTCTTAGTTTATTTCCAATGCTCTTGCCTTGGATTCGACTGAAATCTATTGAGAACACTGACTGCATAAGCTATATCATGTCTAGTGAAAACTTGAGCATACATCTAACTCCCCACAACACTAGTACATGGTATCATCTTCATATATTCTCTTTCTAGCTTATTCCTTGGACATTGAGCTTTCCTCGTCCACCTACAACCCTCCTCCAACCTAGTCCCAAGCACTAGCCCGAAAGAATGCCTTTTGGACCAAATGTGATAACACAATTTTCATTTCCGCATGCGAGACGGTGATAGCCGATGGTCACCGTAATGGAAATTACTTCACGAAACACGGCTGGGACAAAGTGATCCAGTTGTTCAACACCAACTCCGGGTACATCTGGACCAAGAAACAACTGAAGATTCATTGGGATTGTCTCCGTTAAAAGCATAAAAGACTCACAGAGCTTTTGAATTGTAGTGATGTCGAGTATAACTCCGCAATGGGAACAATTGCTACCTCGAACGAGTGGTGGGAGCGAAAGATTAATGTACAAAGACTAACTGCAAGTACTAACTTCTTTTCACGATTTTTTGCACTTCTTGAAACGGCAATTATGAGAATCTATAATCAGTTGGCGTTTGAGTGTTTGAAAAATTGATATGTTTATCGTATTGTTCTGCATTGTGGTTAGTTCCCTTGACCATACTCCTAGTTGAAAGCACAGGAACTAGAACTGCAACGAACTATCTCATTTATGTGTTAAAGATGAAGGGTTTGGCATGTTGGGTTTGATTATGTTGACGTTTGTATTTATGGACATGAGTGTTTATTAAAGGATTGCGTTGTCCTGGGAAGATTTATGCATGGAATAGGGTACTTTGCGGCTGTTTAATGAATTTTTTAGACACTGGCTCACAAGACTGTTCTTGGTGCATTTTATCTTGGTCAGCGAGGCCTTGATTATACTTTGTTGATATTGCTTCCCAGAAATGAAAATTGCAGAATAAATGAAGCAGTTCTTTTTTCAATTCACCAGACCTTATATAATAGCTTTTGGGTTGCATTGACGAGCAGCTATAGTTTGCATTTTCTTTCACGACATCAAACTGAAGTGTGAGCATTGCTGATGACTGATAACAATAAAAGATTACCCCTCATTCATACGGATGCAATATATTTGTTACTGATGTAGTCCACGTCTGGTTCATGTTAATAAAGTGTTTGTGAATGCTTCAAGTTTGTTTGCATAGATTTCGAGGGATATGCAAGTGCTATTCACTTCTTTTATCCCAATTGAATTCACCAGCTTTCCTATATCATCTAATTCTCAATTTCATCTTGTGAACATGATATGCTGCTAGCGTTATATCCATCAACTGATGTGGTTCAATGTATTTACTTACAAATTTTACATGCTTCCAAATCCATTTGTATTGATGATGGTTGGAAACTTAGGAATTTCATTTGTTTGAAATTCACCAGAATACATTTGTTTGAAATTCTGAAATAATCTATAGCTTCGCACCTATTCGTTTGTTGGTTATATATTTATGTTACAGAGACTTTTTAACTTTAT